ATCTCTCTTAGTTACTCTAGAAGGGGATGATGATCCCCGTTCTGTACGAGAAGCCTTGTCAGGTCCTGCAAAAGATGAATGGATGAAAGCTATGGAAGAAGAAATAGACTCAATGAAAAAGAACCAAGTTTGGGTGTTAGTTGATCTTCCAAAAGGGCGTAAAGCCATTGGGAACAAGTGGCTCAAAATTAAAAGAAAAGTGGATGGATCAATTGACAAATACAAGGCTCAATTAGTGGCAAAGGGGTACACACAACAGGAAGGAATAGATTATGAAGATACATTCTCACCTGTTGTGCGTTTCAATTCTATTAGACTTATTCTGGCAATAGTAAACAGTTTAGATTTAGAATTACATCAAATGAATGTAAAAACCGCATTTCTGAATGGTGATCTGGATGAAGAAATCTATATGGAACAACCATTAGGTTTCATTGAAAAAGGAAAAGAAAATAAAGTTTGTAAACTCAAAAGGTCCATTTATGGATTGAAACAGTCATCCAGACAGTGGTATTTGAGGTTTCACAAAGCAATAACCTCATATGACTTCCAAATGATAGAGGAAGACCACTGCGTTACATTAAGCGGTTTGAGGGTAATTTTGTCATATTATCCTTATATGTAGACGATATACTATTAGCCGGAAATAGTCTAGATTCGGTGGTGGCTATTAAAGAATGGCTTTCGTCGAATTTTGAAATGAAAGACATGGGTGAAGCAGAGTATATACTTGGAGTTAAGATCCAAAGAAATCGTTCAAAACGAATCCTCTCTCTTTCACAAGAGAATTATATCAACAAGATTCTTGAGCGATTTAACATGAAAGACTGCAATCCCATGAGTACACCCGTTGCCACTGGAGTGGCTTTGAGTTCTGACATGTGTCCCAAAACCGAATCTGATAAAAAGAAGATGGAAAGAGTTCCATATGCCAGTGCTGTTGGTAGTCTGATGTACGCAATGATGTGTACAAGACTAGACATCTGTTATGCAGTGGGACTGGTGAGCAGATTCCAGTCTAACCCCGGTGAAAAGCATTAGAAAGCAGTGAAGAGGATCTTGAGATACTTAAAGGGCACTTCCAATTATGCACTGTGCTACGAAGGAGGTGACCTGCGTCTTGTTGGGTACTCCGATGCTGATGTAGGCGGAGATGAAGAAGAACGAAGGTCAACTTCAGGTTATACCTTCTTGCTCAACAATGGTGCCATATGTTGGAGTAGCAAGAAGCAAACGTGCATTGCCTTACATTCAATGGAAGCTGAGTTTGTGACATGCACTGTAGCAGTGCAAGAGGCTTTATGGCTGAAGAGATTTATAGAACACCTTGGATTTGGAAATGAGAGTACCAATCCGGTGATGGTATACTGTGACAATACTGCAGCCATAGCCTATACTAAAGATCCTAAGTATCACAGCAAAACCAAGCACATTGACATCAAGTATAATTTTGTTAGAGATTACATAGCACAAAAGATTGTTACTGTACAATACATTTCAACCAAATGTATGGTAGCAGATCCTCTGACAAAGCCAATAGGCGAAAGAGTTTTTAAAGAACATGTATAAGCCCTTGGCATACGTAAAGTGTAATATGAATGCTTCATTAATGAAATTGTATTTCGTTATCACTTTATGTGTCTGTCCGAAAGTATACAATGTCTAGTATGTCGTACAGGTTAAAAATGTTTGCTCTCTCACACGGGCAACCGCCTTTGACACTCAGGTGGAGTGAACAAAGATGAGACATTTGTGTTCACCAGTAAAGCAGCAATGAATGCTGATATGGTAGAGAAGAAACACAAACTTTATGTCGCCTTGACTAAAGTGTAGCAAGTCAAGATGAGATTCACGTTGATAAAGCTGGATCGAAGTTTGGAATCCCACTTCCATAATACCTGTAGCCAGACAACAAACTCTTCAACGTCGACGTCATAACAATGAGCAGAGTTGAAGAATTTGGGTTTAGATACTGAGTGTGTCTGGACCTAAGTCTGTACGGTGTTAATAATAAATCTAAATCGACATACGCTCTTATAGTAAAAGAGTAACACCGTAGCATGTGTTTCATACCACATGTGCTGAGAGAACCGCAAAAGGGAAGCAAGTGAAAGATCCCTGCTTCATTGCTGTGTGAGTCCCAGGGAGGAATTATCCTCCTATTGGTGTCCTTTGACTTTGACAATATCATGAAGATATGTTTCAGTGACTGCTACTTTGGCATATGTCCTATGGTCATGATTGATGCGATCTAAGGTAGTATGCTAAGAAAGCGACTGATTCATTTCAAAGTGATATTTGGGTGAAAGGAAGATTGACTGTGATATACACACCTATGCTAGTGTCTGTGACATGTCCCTTATGACATTTTGTGGTCATAAGTGTGGATACTAGACATACGAGAAAGGTAATCTGAGTCAACCATTGACTCGAGAGGGATTAGATTTAACGTGAAAAAGTGTATATAAGTAAATCTGGGACATCTGAGGCATAATTTTAAAATTCAAGCTACACAAAGGAGAGGGTGACTTGTGCTGATCCTTTAAAAGGGATTTCTAGTATAGGGACCCAAGCGAAGACGTCATGCCCACGCGGTCACGGCAAAGCACTAAGTATGAAATTGAGGGAAGGTGAAGAGACTAGACCCGCGACATCTAATCCACCAAGTGTGAGTGGGAGATGTAGGAAAATGGGCTAGTCCACCCTTGGTGGATTGGACCCAAGCCCAGTATCATTTGGGGTCTTGGTGCAAATTATAAAACTCATGGGTCTTTAACTGTAATTTTTGCCCTTTCATATATTTTGCCAAAAGCGGGAATAGTTAAAACGAAGCAGACGGTTTTTATTTGAACAAATGTGAGGGGAGTTACATAACTGATCCAATGGGATCAGTTTGCAGCAGTGCATTTTGCGTTTTTCCTTCTCCATCAGACTTCACCCTCCGTCTCTCCAAACTCTCTCTCCGGTGCATTTGTTGTGTCTATCAGATCCGACTCCATCACCGTGATCGGACCTCCGCGTGGCAACCTGATTACATTGTAGACTCCAGGTATGCCCAAAAACCTTCATACCTCATTACACGCTTAATTATAGGATGAAATCACAGTGGAAAGGCTCTATCTGGCCGTCCTCCAACTCCACAATGAGTGATCCGTACAGGCCCAGGGAAGGAGAGTTGACGGGGAGAGAGAGGGAGAGTCCACGGAGATGAGAGAGATTAAGGATAAAAGGAGAAGGGAGAAGAGAGAGAGAGAGAGAAAGGAAAGAGGAAAGAGTTGACACTTGTGCGTTTGGTGGGACCCACAAAAAAAAAAACTGACGGACGTTTGAAACACTTAACTGAAGTGACATTTTTGCCTTGATTTAAAATGCTAATATATATTTTTACCCCTAACATTTTATTGCGATGCTTGTTATCTTTTTAATATTATAATAGATAAACTTATTCTTTTATCTTTTTTAAATACTTTTTTTTGCTACAATATTTTTCAAATATTATCTGCCAGTAGAGCCGGGAAAACGGGTCGAGCCCTTCGGGCCGGCTCGTTTAAGCCCTGAAATTATGAGGGTCGGGTTTGATATTTTTCTCTTAAAATGAGAAATAAGCCCTGGAGGGCTGGTCCTGGAGGGCCGAGGGCTTAAAAGGGCCGGCCCTGGAGGGCCGCGGGCCGGCCCTTTTAAGCCCTTTTATAATTTTTTTTATTTTTTAAATTTTTTATATAATATTAATGTTATTAATTTTTTATATTGTTAATAATATTTCAAATATTTAGTTATTATTATCATTTTAAAATTAAATTTAGTTTTAGACAATAATTTATCCAATTAAATTTTTAAAAAATGGGTTAATTTGGACTTTAATAATGATTTGATTTATATTATATGCGTTGATATTTTTAAACTATATATATATATTTGATAATAGAATATTTTTATACTTATATAACTTGTGATTCTATAATTTGAATTAGAAATTCATGAGTTTCAACAACAATGTTTCTCACATTAAAATAAAATAATAGTTAGATTGCAAAATTTAAAAATAAAATTCTTATAAAGAAGAAAAACTTGATATTTTTGTTACGAAAGAAAAGCATAGTTATGAAGAAAAGTAATTAATTATAGTGATGATGGAGTTTCAAAAGATTAATGATAGTGTTTATTTATTGCACATTTGCATTATAGATAAAACTTTTAGATGTTGTTATATTGTTAATGAATGCTTTAGATGTTCTTAGATGTTGATGAATATTTATATATAATAATATTTTATATTTATAACTTAATTTTATTCATATTTATGTCTTTTATTAATAATTTCATTGGTTTATTTTTATAAAAAAAATATGAGAAATATAAAAATAGTTTTTTTTTCTTAAACGGGTCAAAAGCTCACGGGCCGGCCCTGGCCTTGTAGCTTAAGGGCTGGGCCTAGCAAATTGGGGTATTTTTAAAATTTCAGCCCTAGAAAGCCGGTCCTTTTAAGCCCGCTAGCCCTGAAGGGCCGGTCCTGATTCCCGACTCTATCTGCCAGGACAATATGAACCAAACACAAAGGCCAATACACATAATCAATGCTACATGACTTGATAGCAGCCCGAGAAATATGTTTATTTGTTTAATAATCAGCTTACGGAGTAAATAGTCAGGAGCCAAACGCAAGCTGTTTAAGGCATCGGCTCACAGCACAAGTTATTGGTTTTTTACTGACTAAGGGAAAAGAATAATAAAATATTTTAAAAATTATTAAATGACAAAACAAAAATTATTATAAAAATATGTTCTCATTTATTTTTTTTAAGTATAGTCAATTATTATTAAATTATAATAAATAAGATTAATTTTAAATTTTAAATTTGTAAAAAAATGTATACTTTTTTGAATTTTTTTGAAGAATAAATTAGAAAAGAAAGATAATAAAAATTTCTGAAAATTATTAAATAACAAATCAGACATTAATAAAAAAAATATGTTGCCATTTGTTTTTATTTTTAGTAAAAGTTTATGTAGTTTTTTCTTTTTTGTTGCTGTGAAGTTAACGACAAATTAAGCTATCAAATCACGTCACTTATTTGATGTAAAGTTCTATTTTTTCTAACAAGATATATGAATATTAAATAGGAACTTAAGTTTCACCACATGTTTGGGAAAAATATCTGTCCATGGTTGGTGCTCGAGGACCAAAGAAATTAAAGTCATTCTGAGAAACCGAAACAATAAATATAAACTTGGAGTCGAACTCTAAAGCAAATCTGATTCATTTCCATGGCGGACGGGAGGCCGACCAATATTTATCTAAGCCACAGAGACGATGACTACAACGTTTATGAATTCACTGATAAGCTTTGTGCTGCTTTTGAAGCTGAAGGTTTAACAACCTTTGAGCAATATCAGGATCTTGAAATAGACGATTCACTTCTAGATGATCTTCTGAAACCAATTCATGAATCGTGGGTCTATATTTTTATCTTCTCCAAAAACGATGCTACTTCAAAAGGTCACTTAATGGAACTCCAAGAAATTACTTGGCGCATTCATCGGCCACGCGGTGTTATATTCATCTTCTACGATCTTGATCTAATCCAGGAAAAGCAGGTAAAATTCTGAAACACTTTTTGTTATGCTCCTCAAGAATCTGGACTGTTCAAATAAAAATTAGACGGGTTTAGTCAAATGTTATTGTTTCTGCAAACAACTCTAATGCCAAAAGAAACCAGGTTCTGGATGAATTCTATGACAAGGTCGCCAGTCAGTTCAGCAAATTCACAAGTGGGACGCCAGATGATCTTCTTGAGATGTACAGTATCATGATCCAACCACGGTACAATTCTCTTACTAACTAATCCTATGTCTCGTTCTTAATATAAGAGGTATATAAATAATTCGTGGATATTAAGAAAATTAATTAAACTTCTTTGTAATAATAAATGTGTCTTGGTTTCCTAAACTATCATATTTAATCATATATTCCTTTGGTTCTTGATAAGGAGCTAATTATTGAGTTAATCTTAATTCTAAATATAAGACATATTTTTTATATTTATTAATTTTTTTAAATTATCCTTATAAATACTCTATCAGCTATAACTAAATAGGAGAGGAAGAGAACGTATTAAGAAAAATGATTATGGTGTTTTAGAAAAAATATATCATATTTCTTAGAATTAACTTACCTATCTAACCTTCTTAATCTAATCAAATTAGTCAAAATTAAATTAAGGACCGGAGGAGTGTATTGGAACTAACCCTTGATTGAAAACCTCTTTAACATGTACAATCAATAGGGATACTTCGGGTAAAAATTATAAATTTGGGAGGAAAAATGGATTAAGGCCTCATGTTTAAAATCAAAGTGAACCCTTTATCTGGCTTCTATGTTTAGGACAGGATTAGAAGTAGTAGTTTAATTTTCTGAAAGTCAACCGATAGATCATATTAGTTGTTTTCAATTTTGTTCTTTATTCAGCCGAATTTCAAAAGCCATCAATGAAATCGTTAGCAAGGTCATGATAGCTCTGCGTCAACTAGAGTATGTTGTTGAGCTAGTTGGGATGCAATCTCGTGTAGCTGAAGTTGAAAAGCTTTTGAATTTAAGTTCAGTTGATGAACAACTTCGCGTAGTAGGCATTTGCGGTATGGGCGGAATAGGCAAGTCAACTCTTGCTCAAGTTTTGTATAGATCAATCTCTCGCCATTTTGACGCTTATTGTTTCATAGAGAATATAAGTGAACTTTTGCATGATGATCTTCCCCTAATGGAAATTCTTTATCAAAACTTTGAGATTAAAGATCCAGAAACTTGGACTCGAAACCAACGGAGATTTCTCGTTGTTCTTGATGGTGTTGATCATGAACAAAATCTTGATGCACTGAATCTGCTTCTGAAATCTGAACGCTTTGATAAAGGAAGTAGAATCATCATTACAACTAGAAATGAACGAGTCCTTGAGAAGTGTGAAGTGGAACATGTTTATAGACCTAAAATACTGAGTGAGGATGAAGCTCTTAAATTCTTCTGTATAAAAGCCTTTGGACGATATTCTGCAGAGAGTGGATATGAAGAGATGACAAAGAGTGTACTGGAATATGCAAATGGACTTCCATTGGCAATTATAAAACTGGGCACATTCTTACGCCAGAAAAGTGTTGGAGAATGGAGAAGTGCCTTGGCTCAACTAAAAAGGGTTCCTGATCGTGACATAGTGGAGGTGCTCAAAAGAAGTTTTGATGAACTTGATGATAAGAGCAAGGAAATCTTTTTGGACATCTCATGTTTTTTCATTGGAAAAAAGATGGATCGTGTGAAGGAAATTTTAGATACTTGTGGCTTTCCTGCGGAGAATGGAATGAAAATTTTGATTGAGAAATCACTCATGAACATTTTAGATCACAAAATAGAGATGCATAATATGTTGCAAGAAATGGGACAACATATTGTTCGGAGAGGATTCCCTTATGAGCCCAAAAAATGGAATAGGTTGTGGCATATAGACGATATTGATTACGTCATGCAACAAAATGAAGGCACAGTAAGTCGTTAATAACTCTTTTCTTTTACTAAAATAGTCTGTGTGTATAAAACCAGGTTAATACCATTTTTAGTGCTTAAAAATTTGACTTCATTTTGGTTTCAAACCCTGATATTCTAAACTAGGGGTTTTGATTTCTGAAATTTGATTTTATTTTGATTTTGGTTCCTAAAATTTGAAATAAGTGGTTTTGGTCTCTGAAATTTGATTCCATTTCAATCTGGCCTGAGATTTTTGGTCCTTAAAACAAGAACCAAAACCAAAACCAAAATGAATTCAAATTTAAGGGACTAAAATAAAATGAGGGCAAATTTTAGGGACTAAAAATGATATTAACCCTATATATATAATACACAAAATTGAAGTGATCTGTCTAACTTGTCTTATTTATTTATTCCTAGGCTATGAAAAGATTTGAAGCTATATCCCTGGATTTGGAAGACACCAGAAGAGTTACATTAAGAGTTGAAGCTTTATCACAAATGAGCAATCTTAGATTACTCATATTCCGTAATGTCAACTTTTATGGAACTCTCAATTCTCTTTCTAATGAACTACGATATGTTTCGTGGCATCAATATCCTTTCACTAGTTTGCCATCGACTTTCGAGCCTTATGCACTAGTGGAATTGATCATGACCGATAGCAACATCAAAGAATTATGGCAAGGCCAAAAGGTAAAACTATAGTTTGTAGATTTATTTTACTTGTTATGATACATTTTAGAGTACTAGTATAAATATCTCTTGCTCTATAGCTACATTTTATGTAGAACATAATGACTCTGGCTCATTTACAGGTGCTTCCTAAGTTGAAAACTATGATTCTTAGTGGCTCCAAAAATTTGATGAAGATGCCAGATTTTGGAGGGGTTCCAAATCTTGAAAGATTAGAGCTGGAAGGATGTACTGGATTGTTGCAATTACATGCATCTATTGCTAGAATTCCAAAGCTCAAATTCTTAAATCTGAGAAACTGCATTAATTTGGTTAGTATTCCGAATGTGTTATTTGGTCAAGGCTGTTTGGAAATTCTGAACCTTGCTGGCTGTTCAAAGTTTGCTTCTTGTTTGAGATTTTGCCCTTTGAAGAGCTCCATAGAAGTGAGACTACTCAGCATTTGGTACCATCAATTCTTAGAAAGAATGTTGTACTTTTTTCTTTTTGTTTTGCCCCAACATAAAAATTATCATCTGCTTGTTTTTTGCTGTCTTTTTTACTTGTTCTGTAGGGTAAAAATAAAAGGTGTGTCCTGAGATATAGTTTTGCTAGTTATGTGCTTTAAACTCAATTATTCCACTTTTATTATATGTGAATGTATGCGCATCATCTCTAACTAATTAATGGTGGGTGTAAGAAATTATGTAGATGAAAACTGAACCATTTATTTTCAAAATTCTTAACGCAGAATTAACTTAAAACTTAATTTATCTTACTATTTTATTGAAAGCAATAGATTAAAGAAAATGGAAAAATTTACATGGTGATTTAAGTATTTAAAATATAATTATAGGGTTGCGCATGTGTATGTTTTTACAGTACGGAAAATTATAACTTAATGTTTCTTTAGTGTAATAATGCTAATACTTTTTATGAATTATGATGGTTAATAGAATTTTCTTAATTAGTCATTATCTAAAGCTTTACAGAATTGAGGTTTGAATTGAAAATTAAAAAAAAAAAGATTTTATATCCTAAAAATTGTTCATAACAATTAACTTTTGTTAAAAGGTAAAAAGAAATAGATTGACTTAAAAAGAATCATATATAGGCTGAATATATAATCCATAAGTATTATCAGGAAAAAAAAAACTATAAGTATTATTTTTAGCAAAATATTCATCATGAAAGGTGATTTTGACACGTTCGTAAAGTTTATTGGTCTTATAAATAACGCGTGGAAGGGATCTATTGTTTTATATGTTACCTCTCCAGTCCGTATAATCTAATTATTGAATTAATCTTAATTTTAGATGTAAGATCTATTTCTTATATTTATTAATTTTTTTAATTACTCTTATTAATACTCTCAACCATGATCAATTAGAAGAGGGATGGAGGATTTTAAGGAAAATTATTATGATATTTTAAAAAAATATATATCATATTTCTTATAATTAATTTAATTAACTTACCTGACTTTTCTAATCTAATCAAATTAGTTAAATAAATCTTATATTAATTACCAGAGGAATGTTTAAATTAAGTTATCTTGGAAACCTTTTTTTCCACAAATCTTACGTGTTTCATGAGGTCAATATTTTGGATTAATTAATTAACTTCTTCCACAAAGTCTTTGATTGCTTGAGTGATACTGACAATCAGTGAGAATATTAAGAATTGCTAATATTGTTATTATGAATAACACAAAGGAATTTACTTAAGAGAGTACACTTATAAAAGCATATATGCTTTTTATTAAGATGGGAGCAATTTGGAGAAGACCAATGATTATTAGCACAAATTGGATCTTAACTTTCACGAGCCATTTCTCCTTATTACTAAAAAATTGAAATAGTTTTAGGATAAAATAAATATGAAATTAATGAATAAACAATTTTTTGTGGGAAATAAGATGAACCTATTTTGAATTGTTTCGGCCAAATTTTTAAAATTTTAGCTACAGTAGACCATGAAACGCTGTCGGTATCTTAAATTATAAATTTAGTTGGGAAAAAAATAACTGACGTCCATCACTTTGATTTAGTCTTTCTCACCACTTTTTTTATTTTTATTTTTTCTGATACAGATCCTTTCTTACCACTTTATCTTCTCTAAATATTTTACACAAGCGTGGCATATGACATAGATAGAGACCAGCCAACAGCTTCAAGTAATCTAAGTGCGTTATATATAAGTCGGAATTTCTAAATAAAAAAATTATCGACAAAGCCGATTAAGATTCGTAAGTTCTAACAAACTAATTGCCTGTTTGGTTAAATGGTGGAAGCTTTAATAAACTTATTTGAATCTTAATAAGTGATTATGTAATCTATTTATTCCATTTGGCTAAATGCTTTGAAATCACGGCACGGTACCATGATTTCAATCCCAGTCACACGTTTGAGCATAAGCTACTAGGAGTAGCTTGCAATTGGAAAATCCTGATGGAGATTTAACAACAAAAAATTCTCTTGTCTACCGTTGTTAATAATAATTATTAAATTAAAATTCTATTTAAAAAATAAATACTTATCTACCCTTGTTACTTTTTCATAATTATATATTTATAAGTGATTTTAATAATTGAAATCCAAACATAATCAACATTTTTAAAATCACTTGTAAGAAGAAGTATCCAAATAGTAATCACCATTAACTATCATCACTTTTAATCAATGTCACTTGTACACATCACGGTTATCTAAAATTATAGTGATTCGCTGCTTTTCTAGATGGGTACTAACAATTCAATATTCGCGGACAATATAATTCAGGTGGGCTAACATTATTAAAAATATATAGCAAATTAGATCATCACAATTTTTTTTTGCTAGATACCATCATAAATTGGCGTGTTATCAAATGACCAAATGCAAAAATAATAATATACAACAACCACAATAATGACAATAATTTACCCTTCTAATCCTACTTAAAAGTTACTTTTAATATGTTATACTGAAACTGAAAAAAATTAAATTTTGTTAACTCTCTTAAAATTTCACTATGTACTTGTGAATCTTATCCCTATTTAATATATATGTTTTTGAAGAAAATAACAATCTACACAATAATAAATAAAAAATAAAATAACCAACAAACTGTAAGTTGAGGTGATTAGAGAAAAGTACATTCGAATTTTAAGCTAAATATTTGTTGGAAGAACTTTAATCTTAAATGCTCCTAGTCAAATAAAAATTAGTTTCAAGTTTAAAGTGATTTGGGGATACCCTTAATCACACCCAAAAAAAAGAGAGGATAAAATAATATATTTATATTAATGATGTGACTTGTAAATAAGATAGAAAAATGTTCTCTCTTCAAATTGTATGCAAGACTATAAGTGTACCAGGCAAGAAAATTAACTTCATTGAGACTAATGCATGCTTAGAATAGTGTTAGGATTTAGGAAGCTTCATAAATTAGTTGGGGAAAAAAATGCTAGTTGGATGAAAAATAATATTTGACATGGTACCTTCTGATACTACTGAATTTTGAACATATATCATTTAAACAACTATTTTTCTCAAACTTAGGCCTGTTTGATTAAAAGAATCCATTAGAATGAAAAGGAATTGAAAGGAAGATAATAGAAAATTTTCAATCGAGTGGATGTTTGGTATGCATTAGAATGTGAAAAGTGTTTATAAAAATTTTTATGTTCAATTAGATGAAAATAAGTATTAAATGAAAAAAAGATAGCGTTTTTTTGTTGAATTAAAGGTATCCACAGCTGATAATAATAACTAATGCTCTCGCATTACAGACTTCTGAAAGGGTTTTAGTGCCAGCTATGAGACTATCTCCATACCAAAAAAAAAAAAGTTTAAAAATAAAATTACATAAAGTAGCCCAACTTCGGTCTTCAGTTTAAAAGTCAATTCAAATATTAAACCCAAATATAAATTCATCCTTCGTTTTCTTTTAAAACCCATCATATAACTTCAACACTGTTGCACTTCAAACTAAGGAAGAAGAGAACAAGACCATTGCAAATCAAGAAGACACGAAGAGAAGAGTTCTACGCTAATAAACCTTTGGAAAAAGCTAGCTGGTTGCGTCCCGACGTTTGTGGAAGACCCAACTTCAGCACACACCACTTTATCCTCAGATTTGTTGAGCTCCAATCGTGTTTCCTTAGTCAACATTTCAAGGCAAATGAGACAATGGGCGTTTCGTACGCGCAAGCGACTAAAAATTCATATCTTCAAAGGAAAATGAGCCTCCTGCTAGAAATTCCTTTCCTGCTTCTTCTTTAAACCAGGTGCTCACAGCCAATTGAAAATATGCGTTGTCCATTTTTTTTAGCTGGATTTTCTTCAAACCAAACGGGTCCTTAGTTTTTTATGAAAAGCTATGCTAATGTATTTTTACTCCTATTTTAATTTATAAAAACCAGTTGGATAAAGATCACTTTTTTCAACGTTAGTGATGCTTCCTGTTGCTGTAATATTTTATTCTGATTGGTTGGCCAATAAACAATACACGCGATTTAATTGTTCTCTCTTGTACGTAGACTTGCGTGTTCAGCGGAGTTTCTTATTTTAAATGATGAGATGATGACTTAAGAAAGAATAATAAAAATTTATATATATAATCGCTCGTTCCATTTTATAAAAAATAAATACTCCTCCGGTCCTTGATATAAGACCTGCTTAACTAATTTGATTAGATTAAGAGAGTTAGATGAGTTAGTTAATTATAGGAAATATGATATGTTTTTCCTAAAATACCATAATTATCTTTCTTAATATTCTTACTTTCTCACTTACTTGATTATGATTGAGGGAATATCCATAAGAGTAATTTAATAAAAATTGATAAATATAAAAAATAAGTCTTATATTTGAGACAAAAATTAATTTAATAATTAAATTCTATATTAAGGACCAGTAGAGAATTAGTTATGACTTGTTCCTATTTATAAATGATTTCTCAAATTTTTTTCATTAATTTCTCCTTTTTTTATTTAATTACTCATTTTAATATTAATATATTTATTATCAAACGACCCCAAAACATCAAGGTGATATGATTAAGTCATTAATTTAGTCTAAAAATAAAATAAAAATTTCGATTTACACATATTTAATAGCATGAATTACATTAAGTAATCTTGGAAGCTGCATCTTCGTGCGATCCGATAAAAAGAAAAATCGCTTGGACAGAGTGAAACTAAGAAAACAAATAAAGAGGAAATAGATGAGAATAATATAGAGAAAGAGGGGATCAACAAGAGAAAGTATTTTTTATTCCATTCAAGAGTGCTCAATACATTATATATTGCCTCTATTTATAGGCACAGCTTTATACATTTGATAGAATCTACAAATTATATAATAATATGAGATAATTATGGGATATAGAGATAATGGGAGATATTGGAGATTATAGGAGATATAGAAGATAATGAGAAATATATGGACATCCACAAAGATATTATTATATTCATAACACTCCTCCTTGGATGTCTAATATATATGAAATTGCCTTGTTAAAAAACTTCAATTAGAAAAAACCTTGTGGGACAAAAACCTAGCAAAAGAAAAAAAGTACATCATTCATTGATATACTATGCAATGCTACCTCATTAAAAACTTTGCTAGGAAAACCCAATGGGACAAAACCATAGACAAGGAAAAAAGAGTACAGTGTGTATCAACTCCCTCTTTTGGCAACATCAGTTGACATCT